AACCAGCTGATCATGAATGTCAATGATGTTAGGATGAACTTCATGCTGACTTCCACTATTATTGTCTGCCCATTAATCACAGATAAAAGGTCCCCCTGCCCTCTTTCTGCCATTCTTTACATCTGTAATACCATAGGATGGGGTGGGGGCAGAGGGAGACCTTTACATATGTCCTACTCATGTGACTATAATTTGCATATCCTGCAGTATTCATATAGTTGTCCATGTAATGCCCAACCAACAATATACATTGGAACTCCACAAGGTACCATATGCTAGTCACCCTTTCTGCATCTGTTTCTAACCCCTTTTATCATTGCTGTAAGGAACAAGAAAGCTACAAAGACAACCTTCAGTCAGGTTCTGATCTGTCACAGGGAAACCACTATTTAGACTGTGAGGGAGTAATAGAAAAACAGATCTTGTGATAATAAAGATGTAGAAAGGCTGAAGAATGGTTCTCCATATTCAGGTGGACCTAGACAGCAACTTTGCAAAACTAAACCTTGAAAGAACATGGAATGTGCAGAGCAGAACAACCATTTTGTCTCATGTATCAGATGTGTTTGTGTCATTCCTCTTAAAGTAACCCCTGAGAGCCTCAGAATTGTTAAAGCATTTATTGGCACCTTTCTAGTCAGTTTAATTTGAAGCTATGCTTATATGTTAAGGGCCTAGTGCTACATTATTCAGGTTAAGATCAAAGAAATAACACATAGATTTAATAGATTTCATAGTGTTTTTAGGGGTTGGAAGGGACCTATTAAATCATGCAGTGTGCCCTCCTGCACTGGGCAGGAAAGAAGGCTGGGGTCAGATGACCCTAGACAGGTCTTTGTCCAATCTCCTCTTAAATACCTACAAGAAAGGGGACAGTACCACCTGTCTTAGGAACGTGTTCCATATTCTGGCAGCCCGCTCTGTAAAAAAAAATTTTTCCTGATGGCCAATCTAAATTTGGTCTCTTTCAGTTTGTGGTTATTGTTTCCAATTACCCCAGTGGGTGGCCTGGTAAACATCATATTCCTAATTTCCTGCTGTCCCCCCTGATGAGTTTGTAGATGGCCACAAAATCACCTCTCAGCCTTCTCTTGTGGAGGCTGAAGAGGTTCAGGTCCCCCAATCAGTCCTCATAGGGTTTTTTTCTGTAGGCCTTTAACTGGACAGGTGGCCCTCCTTTGAACCCTTCCCTGGTTATGTACATTTCTTCTGAAGTGCGGCACCAAAACTGGACGCAGTACTCCAGCCGCAGCATAACCAAAGTCACATACCGGGGAAGTAACACCTCCCATGACCTGTTTGTGATTCACCTACCTATGCAAGAATGAGTGTGTTTCGCTGTACGTATTAATTCATCACATTGATGACTCATGGTCATTTTGGAGTCAATTATGACTCCGAGATCCCTTTCTGCAGTTGTGCTACTTAGAATGGTACCCCCCAGGCTATAGGAGTGTTCATGATTTTTGGTCCCTAGGTGCAACACAATGCACTTATCTTTTTTAAACTATATCCTATTCTGTTCTGTCCTCTTTCCCAGGCTCTCCAAATCCACCTGGACTCACTCCCTGCCCTCTAGTTTGTTTCCCTCCCCGCATAGTTTGGTATCATCTGCAAACATTTGCAAAGTACTTTCTACTCCCTCATCAAATATATTTTTATTGGAATGTTCACTAATTTGCTAGTTAATATATTTATATATTAATTTTAAGAAACACAAGAAATGAGGCAAGAATGGTCAAAATAGTCAAAAGATTAAATTAGTTCCATAGTCCTAATAGCTAAATGTACAGCTCTCATTCAAATTTGTAAACTGATATCTAGTCTTCTTGACAGTTGTGAGGAACTTAGGGATTCAAACCTGGATCTGCCAAGGCAGTAGGCATAGGCAAAGTCCGTAGAACCACCTTGCAGTTGGTCAGACATTATCTCCAGCCCAGCTTAGTCCCTCCCATGAGGAGGCTGATGAGGAGTCAGGTGACCAGAAAGAACCTATGGGAACTGTGAGCCAGTGACAGAGGGCTATAAAACCCCTGTGAAATTTGTCCCAACAACAATATTCCTGTGTGTGCTTCTTAGACTGCTGCCTTGTTCCAGTCTGTCTCCAGACTTTCTCCTGCCTTGCTCCTACTTGATCCCAGCCTCAGCACAGTCCCTGCCCCTGCCATGTATTGACCTCCTGGCTCTGATCTACCATGTGCCCTGGCCATGATACCACCTTAACACTTAGTCTGTTGACTCAGACTGTGATGGACACATGGCGTGACCCTAGCATGTCTACAGTACTCATTAAATGTTCACCCATAGTTGAATCAATCCTGACAACAGTGCCTCCAGTCCTTCACTGTGCGATACTTCTGTACTTAAATTAATATTTTAAACTAGAACAAAAATAAAAAATTTGCAGGGTGGTAACAGAAAAGAGCCACTACCAAGAATGATTAACAGACTGGAAAATTGCAGATGAAAGGACTGCTTAAATAGTGGAACATCCAGCCCATTAAAAAGGAGAGAGGGTCTTTAACACCTATGGAATGAAGTGAGTAGGAGAAATAAGGGAGATTATAATGAGCTCAGAAGTCAACTGACTCCCTCAGTACTGCCTAAATAGGAATACCAATGCCATTCCCAGGCAGTTTTATTGTTTGGGTAAAACAGGAATCAGAGGGGTGTATCTTTACCACTGCACCCCACCCTAGATCTGCCCTTGCTCAGAGCACTCCAATGAGGGAGGGAAGTTCTATCATCTCATACAGGAATTGAGGTGCAGAGTCTCTGAAACCAAGTTTCTCAAAGATACTAACTGCTATTTCAGCCCCTAATACCCACAGAAATCATTTCCTCTCTGATTCCAGTGGAATTAAGGGGCCTAAATACAAGTCCAATGTGTCAGTTCCTTTGAGGCTCTGGGCCTCAGTAACTTCTTTTAAGTTTCCAAAGCAGCTTAGGCACAGAACAGAATCTAGACTCCCACTTCTATGTGTAACACCCACACACACAGGGTTGTGTAGTGTAGTGTGCTTGTGTGTTGGCGGAGGCTGTTGTTCTGGCCAAGGGCTCAGCACAAGGCAAGCTGGGGACAGTATCTGGGGGAAATATGTAAAACCCTCTGGCTTCATTGCCCAGATGAAACAATCATAATCATACTATAATAAATAGAGCTGACAGTAGTGCTCAAGGATGGCCCAGGAAAAGGGAAGGATGCTCTGGCGGCATTTCAGTGTTATTGCTTCACACCCTGTCAGCCCTTTTTTATCACGGAGGTGCAAAGGTAGCGTGTGCAGGTATATGTGTGTGTAGGCGTCCATTTGTAAAATGCTTGGATTAGGGCCCTCCTATGATGCATAATGCTCATGTCATACAGATCTTATAATATCTAACCTGAAACATTTTCCTCGGCTATACAGGAGCTCTTCCAGGCTCTAAAATAGAAGCATTAGGTGCTAGTGCCTCTTTACTCAGCGCTGGTAGGTCCCATCTACAGCACTGTGTGCATTGCTGGGTTTCACAGTTCAAAAAGGATGTGGAGAAGAGAAAAAGGGTCCAAAGGCAGACAACAGTAATGGTAAGGGGCTTGGAAAGCTGTTTGTACTTGGAGAGGTTGAAGGATATAGGCATGTTCAGCTTATGGAAAAGTTGACTAAGGGGATAAGCAAAAACAGTCTTCAAATATCTGAAGCTCTGTAACCAAGAAGAGAGAAAATACCTTAACTCTCTTGTTACAGAGAGCTGGACATTGTCCAATGGCTTGAAATTACAGCCTGGTAGCTTCAGGTTGGACAGCAGGAGGAACATCTTCACTGCTAAAGTAGTGAGGCAGTGGAATAGACAGCCAAGGAAGTTGTGAAATCTGTCGTTGAAGATCTTCAAGAAGAATTTAGACAAACATTGATCAGGGATGATTTAGGAGTAGATTTGTGCTACATGTGCCAGGTTTTGTTTCTTGCTTTCTTCAGATGCATTTGGTATTGGATGCAGTCAGGCCTGGAGATTTTCACTGGGGGTGCTAATGCTGTTGCTCAAATGAAAATCCAGAGGCTCCTGGGTAAAGGGTCTTCCCCTCTGCTCAAGATCAGACTACTTCCATATTTGGGTTCAGGAAGGAACTTTACACAATGGTCAGACTGCTAAAGACTGTGTGGGGGAGGCTCCTTCCTCTGTTGTGTTTGGCGCGGAGCAAGGCCACCATGCTTTACTGTGGCATGCAGGGAGTTACGCTTTGTGGTTGTGTGTCAGGGTTGGTTCTCTATTTTTGCTACTAGGTTCGACAGTGGATTTGTATGGGACGGTTTGGAAATTGATGATCCTGCCTCTGGCACGGAGTTGAGCATATGACCTCCAGAGAATCCTCCAGTCCTACTTTGTATGATTCTATAAGTCTCTCAATGAACCTAACACTGATTTTGTGATGTGAAATATGTGCACTAGACCTGGTCAGAGAATGTTATTGTTGGTGCCATCACTGTTGCTGTAATCTGAAAAACACAGAATTAAGGCCAGAAGTAGTTTAAGTCAAAATTATTTATTTTCCAACTGAGCGCTAAAATATTCCTGCAGGGGCATGTTGCTGTTTTATCTTATGTGAGGCTGGGGAAGGTAGCCTTTGTACCTGTTCTCTTGGCTGAGCTGAACTACTTAGTCAGATATTATATCTTATTATACATCATAGTGTCATATCATGGTACACTATGTCCCCTTTCCTGATGAAAATTTTGGATGCCTGATTTCTTTATTTAAAAGGGAAAAAAGTGCTGCAAGAGAGCACTATTTGTGTAAAATTTTAGGTATTTAAAAATTGATTTCCCATGCCCCCTTAAAAAAAATAACTCTGATAGAAAAATTCTAGGTGTTGTAGGCTGTTCCTTTTAAACTAAAGACATGAGGTCTTTATAGGGGAATCAGATTGCCATTTTTGACTCTCATCCTGACCTACTCCATAATTATTCCATCCACAGGGATCATACCGTGCACTGAGAAAGACAATGTCCAACCAAACCACCATGACTGAGTTCTTCCTGCAGGAATTTTCTGAGAGTCGGGAGCTGCAGATCTTACACTTTGCAATTTTTCTAACAGGATACCTGGCAGCTCTGATGGGGAATCTCCTAGTTATTACAGCTATTTCCCTTGACCACCACCTTCATGCTCCCATGTTCTTCTTTCTTATGAATTTATCTATCCTAGACCTCAGAAGCATCTCTGTCACTGTTCCCAAATCCATGGTTAATTCGCTGTTGAACACCAGGTTAATTTCCAATTCTGGATGTGTTGCTCAAGTTTTCCTCTTTGTCTTCTTTGCTACAGCCAACTTTACCTGCCTCACTGTTATGGCATATGATAGACCCGTTGCCATCTGCAAACCATTGAATTATAAGACCACTATGAGCATGAGAGCCTGTTTCCAAATGGAAACCATTGGATGGATCTTTGCCATTCTCTACTCTGCACTCCATATTGGTAACACCTTTCGGTTACTCTTCTGCCAGTCCAACATCATCAACAAGTTCTTCTGTGATGTCCCCAGCCAACTCAAGCTCTCCTCCTCTGATTCACACATCAGTGAAGTATAGATTCTTCTCTTTGGCATGTTTTTAGTCTTAAACAGTTTTGTATTTACTTGTATGTCGTACGTTCACATCTTCACAACCAAACTGAGAAAACCCTTTGAAAAAGGCCAAAATAAAGCTTTCTCCACGTGCATTCCTCACCTTACTGTCATCTTCTTATTCCTGTCAATGTCCTTTTTCACCTACTTGAAGCCAATTTCCAGCTGTCTGTCTGGTCTGGATTTCATGGCAGATGTGTTTTCTGCTATGATGCCTCCAATAATGAATCCCATCATCTACAGCATGAGCAACAAGGAGGTTACCCTAGGAAAACAGTTTGCCTTCAGGTTATTCATAAAACAATGATACGCACCTGTCCTTAAATTAAAGATTAAGTTTTTTACATATCCTTGTTTGTTGGTGTAATGAAATGAGGTTTTTTGTCTCCATCATAACCTGGTGGAGAATATTATCTAAAATCAGGTGTCTACCTTAAAAAATATTCAGCCTACTTCCACTATAATTACTGGCATTCATATTGGTTTATGTCATGTTCAATACAAGTAATAAGAGAATCAATCCAACTATTATTTATTTATTCATGGGTTTATTTGATTTCTATTCTGCCCTCTCTAGAAAGGTTTAAAGTAGCCTTCAAAAACAAAGTTAGAAAAATAGAAAAAATAGTAAAACTGCTTTCAACCAATACTCAGGCTCAGGCTGTGGTAAACCCAAAGAGGTTGGGAGTTCCAGAGCTGAAGACACTGACTGAGAACAGCCTTCCATGTGTTTTGTCAAAGTGAACTTGATGCATGGATGGTACTTGCAAGAGGTTGTTCTTAGCAGACACTGGGTATCATCATGAAACCTAAATGATGCAGTCCCAGGTGTGTAATACCCAAAACATTTAAGGCTTCATAGGCCAAGGCCAGCACCTTTAATTGCACTTGGAAAGCTACTAGAAGCCATCGGACACAGGAGCACTGCAGTGATGTGCTCCCAGCCACCCACCCCTGTCAGGAGACAGGACTCTAGGTTGCACAGCAAGTCTGTAACTGCTTGGAGTTATTCAAGGACACTAATTATGCGTGGAAAGTGGAGAATGTTGCACTGCTAAAGGACCAAAAGTGCAGTCCACCGATTGATGGGAAATGATATGGGCTGCTTGTTAGAGTAAAATTTCTGCAATGGAGGCAAGAATTCATCATGGTGCATGAATTGCTGCCATTTTGGTGGATCAAGTCAGTGTATTATTCATGTGTTATTATCATACTTTATTGAGGCCTTGAGTTGGGATGTGCTTTCTCATCACCCTAAGTAAATAAATAATATGTGGATAATGGAGTGACTTAAATTCATGAGAGTTCACCCTGTGACAGTTCAGGGAGGTACCATATTTACTCGATTCTAAGACAACACCCCTCCTCCCCATTTAACATGGAAGAAAAACAAACACACTTTTCTTAAGAGTCAAGTGGGAAGGTGGTGGGTGGGAGGCAGCCACTGTGCTTTGGGCTGCAACCTATTACCAAAGGTTAGGGCCATAGCTGAAGCTCCTGCTTGTCCCCTGAACCTCCCTACTGCCTCTGCACTCTGCCATTCCCCCCCCACCCCCGCAACCCATTACCCTCTTTTCCCCTCATGCAGTCTTTATCCCCCTGTCTGCCCCTCTCCCCACTCCCACCCCTTTGCCTCATGCCAGCAGGATCTGTGCATGCATAAACCTGGGGCCCTGAGCATGGCACAGCCCAGGCCCTTAGCAACAGCAGCAAGCCTGCACGGCTGCTACAGGAGCTGGGCTGGGACCATGAGTAATATCTTTCAGAAAGGATCAGAGCACACCAGCATGAAGAGTTATGGAAACAAAAACACCCCAAGGACAACTAGTCAGACATTAACGTCTTTGGGAAGGATGTTTGATGACTAGTATTTGCAAATCATTATAATATAAGAACTAAGGGCACTGTATTATCTATTTACAAGACCAAGGCTTCCTTGTATTCTGTAAGTATGGGTAAGATTTCACATGACAATTCAATCATGATAACATCACCTATAATGTGAATGATTTCACATTAACACTCATTAGCTAGTGCTGGGTTCCCTTTAGGTGTTTTAAATGTATGCCACTTTGGGCCAGGAATATCTTTCTTTTCTGCTGTTTAGTTTGAGTTAAGTTCAACTGGGTTGTCCTCTGAGATCAAACCACCATTTGCAGTCCTCCAGATAGCCCCAGTATCCTAGGAGGGATTGCATTCATGGGACCTAGCTGTATGTGCCATATGTGTTTGACCCACTTCCCCCAAGTTTGCATGGGACCCTGCAGAGAGAGGGGGTCTCTGGGGCTTTGGATGGTGTCATGGGTGTGTTTCCCACCCTCTCTGTATTGGTTAGGGTGCAGGGCAGATGTTTTACCCATGTTCCATAGTATGCATGTGATCCTGTGGAGTGGCTTTTGGGGGTCTCTGTTTCTGGCAGAGGCACAAAGAGGAGCGAAGGCAGAAGCCACAGCCCAAGCTCTGCCACTGGCAGCAGTGGCAGTGGCATGGAGGGCCTGCTGGAGCAGATGTGGGGGTGGGGGGGTAACTGAGCCTCCTACATTCCACATGCTGCCCGTGGTCTTGAGGGGTATCGTGGAGGTGGTGGGGGCGGGGTTCCCACCCCTTGCTCAGTTTGAGATCTTGCTGCTGCAATGAGAGGGTTGAGTGTCTTACCCACTCACCACAGCATTTATGGAACCCTGCACATTGAGTTTTTTGGGTATTAAGTATTCCCCCTCTGGGAGTGTCAGCTCTTGCTGCTGCAATGTGGGAAGAGAAGCCGGGTTGGGAGGGGTGGTGAATTCCTGTTGCACCTGAGGATTTGCCCACTCTGCAGATCTTTCATGGGACTGTGGGGTAGGGGGAGGGGCGTTTCTGAGGTTTCTGGGGCTTCAGAGGTCTCATGGGGGATTTCTCTTCCCCCAAACAAAGGCTTCCCTTGCTGGCACCAGAGAACAGAGCTTGCAGCCCTGGATGTAGTGCACCTGTTGGGGCGGGGAGATCATCTCCCCATTTCCCCATCTTGCAAGGTCTTTCCCCTATTAAATAGTATATTTTGAATAAATAAATATATACACCTACACAGACAAAGATGATTATGTTTAGTTTTGGTGTTTACTTCTTCAGTTAAGTTACACAGAGATTAATTTGATTTACCCTGATAAGGGGGTGCTGGCTATAGAGCTGGCTAGGTAGACCTCATGGTAGCCATTAGTAATTACCACTTTGAAAGCCTCATTAAATACAGATGCAATCAAGGAGAATGGGGTGCTCTGACATGGACAACCCCATTTTACCTTATATTTCAAACACATCCAACCAGTATTAATTAAGAAGGTTTCTGCCACTTTAAAAGTGCTCTAAAGTTTGGCACATGTATTAATTGAGAACCTTAGTCCTCTTTAAATGGTGGATCACGGAGATGTATTATCCTCCATTTCCTTGTCCTACCCAGAGGAAGAGCCCACAGATTTCCTCTGGCCAGTAGATTAATGTATCTAGGAGGACACAGAGAATTCTAAAGAAAGATCCAACAGCCAGTGACTTCCTCTACCAAACAGCGATAAAACCCATTTTACTTTGTATTGTATTAATGCAGGGCCACAAACCTATGAGTGACTCTCCACTGCACATTTTTCACTGTGCTGCCTTTTGTGAGCATAGAATGAGGGGACAACTCAGAGTCATAGACGGATAGGTCAGTAAACAGATACACTGATTTTGTGCTATCCATGTTTATGCATCTGTGAGTCTGTGAACCCTCAAATGGTGTAATTAAAACAGAAATATATCCTGTGCAGAGACATAAACAGAGATTACTCTAGGTTTTTTTCTTGTGGTTTTCAGGGGGAATGGAACTAAGAAAGAAAATGTGTGGCTAGCCATGAGGAAAAGATAAAGGGCTCTATTTTGATTCTATTTATGACTTAAAAAGAGCTTCAGCAGGTGGGTTAAATTTCCCTAAATGATGCGCCCAGGTTTCCCCCAGCCCACATGTAGGGAAGTGGACCTCAGCCACTGCTGGTTCTACTGCAACTGCTCTCAGTTTATCTCAGCTCCTCACAAAACCCAGCTGGGACAGGGAAGGGGCAGCTCTAGATCTTCCACCCCTAAGGCAGCTGGGGACATTGGCAGTAGCAGGCAGGGAAAGGGGAGACTGGGAGAGCAGGGGACATGCATTAAACAACAAAAGTATCAGCATTGTTTTGTTTTGCTGAAAATTCTGTGGCCACTGACTTCACATAGAAAGAAAATGTCTAGTGGTACTAGAAACATAGATGCATTAAGGAAACAAACATTTATTTCTAATTCATTTGCGCTGAACACATCAACATAGGGAAATATGAACCCATCTAACAACATAGAATTTAGTAACAACTTTTCTCAGGGCCTCCCTTACCTCTTTGTTTCTCAAGCTGTATATGAGGGGGTTAACTAGGGGAGTGAGGACAGTGTAGAAGAAAGAGAATGCTTTATCCAAGTCTCTCAGGCTGTCTTGTTTTGGTAGCACATACACAATAAATATGGTCCCATAAAATATTGTCACTACGGTGAGGTGGGATGAGCAGGTAGAAAAAGCCTTTTGCCTCTTGGTGGTAGAGCTGATTTTCAGGATGGTTGTGATGATACAAATGTAAGATGTCATTGTTAATAAAAATGGTGGAAGAGTGCACATAGAACGACAGCTAGAACTTCCATCATGGATGTGTCACTGCAGGAGAGTTTTATTATTGGGATGAAATCACAAAAGAAATAATCAATTTCATTAGGGCCACAGTAAGTTAAATTTAGCATTAAAAGTACTGTTATACTAATACCTAGAAAACCACTTATCCAGGATATGCCTGCTAGCTGTAAGCAGAATCTTCCATTCATAAGGGATGCATAATGCAGTGGTTTGCATATTGCCAAATACCGGTCATAAGACATTGCTTCTAAGAGATAGCATTCTCTTAGAATGCTATCTCTTAGCATTCTAAGAAA